AGAACCAAGTATTAATAACCCATATATTAAAGGAGATTTGACTCGTATGAAAAAAATTTGATACCAGCAGTACCAAAAGAAGCGATAAACTCTGAGTTGAATGCAAACCTAATGCAATACTTTAAACCTCTTTTCACTTCTTTGAAATTGTAGGAACTGATGAACCAAAGAAACGGAGGAGATTTTGAGGAGCAGCGATGGGCACATTACACGGAATTAATATTTTACCGAGAACCTCTACACTGCAATTTTCAGAAACCAAATGTGGAATGTTGCCATGCCTCCTTGCAAAATCTTAACTGGAAATAAGTTCACAAAAGTAACTAACATTACTCCCACCAGCAACTTCCAGTGCTGTAGCAAACTTGATTTCCTTGATTTTGAATAACTTGGCAACTATCCCTTTCACTGACTTATCATTGAATTCCGGATATGGTTTTGTGTAATTGAATCTCAAGTGTTGGTTTCTAAATACAATACTTTTTACCGACCGTCATTTAAACCTTCTTCAGTTCTAACATGTACAGAACAAAAACTCTTGTATCACTAAAAGGAAGTAAAAGAAATAAAAAATTTTAAAAAACTTGATCTTCCATAAAGAAAGTAGTAGAGCTAAAATGTATTTCAAAAAATAAAACACGGCCATCAGATTGAAAACTTCGTGATCATAAAGGAGATTTCAAATTATGAATGCGACAAAACCATTCACATAATTTTATGTCTGCTTCAACTGTACCTATCTCCAAGCACACTTCTGAGATAAAGCTTATCAGAAGCATATAATTATGGTATCGCCTACTTGCAGTTCTGTTACCTCTTCAACAATCCTGCAATCATAAAAAACCTCCTTGTCAGACCTTTTACTAGATCATCACGTGGCCGGTAGCGTTAAAATATTTTAAGACAGTAAATAGTCCTAACTTTGCTTCAAAACGATCAACCACATCCAAAAGACGCTCGCGCTCAGCTATAAGAGCCGCCCTATCACTGCGTAATCGACATTCCACAGAATCGTCGTATTCTAAGGACTTCATTTCTGCCTTAAACAACACGACGTGCATGAGAAAAACAAGCTGAGAATGAATAAACAGCGAAAAATGTAACAAGTTTGAGCAGCAACAATGCCAAAACCTGATCGTAAATTAAAAGCCAAAGTCCCTGGGAAAAGAAAGGATTTGAGAGAAACAAGAAAAAATACCTCAATCACAGATAACTCCTTAAGAAGCTTTTCCTTCTCAAGCTCTTCTTTAACATTTCTGTTCTTTAATAAGTCCAACTCTTTCTTTTTTTCAATCATTGAAGGTTCTAACTGTTTCAATCTAAAATCAAAACGTGTAACGCAGCTTCCAGAAGCTAAAAAATGTAAATATTTCGAAAATTTTTCGAAAAATTCTGTAGACATACAAATAACTTCCTCACCTCATTTGTGCTTTTTTCACTTTAGTCGCTAATTCACTGTGAGCAGTTCGATGAGCTGAAACATAAACCGGTAATGAACAACAAAATTTTGCTCACGGGAGCCACTGTTACTACTTTATTGTCTTTCACCTGTAAGCTGAGCGTCCAAAGTAACTACGTTCCCCTTCTCGTCTGTAGTGAACCCTTTGGCAATCGCTTCTAACTTATCACGTGCATCGTTCACAGCTTTTTCAGCTTTTTCTCCCATTTTTTCGTCACCGCCGCTTTCCTTCTCTTGCTTTTCTAACTCTAACAGTTTTTTGGCCAAATCTTTTTTATCCTTAAATGAAACAGACCCGAAAAATTGCTCATATTTAACAGCTTCTCAGCTTCAAAAAACTCAAGATTAAAATACAAATGGATAGAAGTAAAGCTGACGAACAGAATAAACTTACGGAAGCAATGCTCTTTTTTTTTCGGCTGACTGCAGTAACCTGTTCTTTCCTTTTCTCTTTTAGTGCATCTCGACGCCCTTCAATCTCCGTAAACTTCCCCATCAGCAATTTCACATTTTCTTCTAAATCCTTTTTCTCACCGGCACGTTTCTGAAATGAGCAAAAAACTTATTTAGAAGGCACTATATGAAAAAAGTTGCAACTTGGACTGAATAAAGCACCCATTACAATACGCTTCGTAAAAAGTTTTCAAGCATAGATTGACAATAAAATGAGCTTCTAAAAGTTATTTCAAACTTGAGAAGTGAATCAAATGACATGGAAGTTTCAATGTGTAGAAAAAGAAGTTTTTAACTTATTAAGCGGTTTTTCTTAATCTCACTGTTTCAGCGAAAACACTGAGGCTTGCAGTTCTTCTGATTCCTTCAAAAAAGAACTTTTTAACTCAATAAGCGGGTTTTCTTAATCTCAGTGTTTCAGCAAAAACACTGAGGCTTGCAGTTTTTCTGATTCCTTCACTACTTTTTTGTTTCTTCCTTAACTCGTAATCATACAAAAAATTTTGAAAAAACCCCTCTCTATTAAGCAAAACTCGGTGGTTCCCAATTCCAATATCCAAAAAATGCAAAAAAAAA